GAACGTCAAATACACTGAAGCGACAACAAGGGGTACAGACGTTAAGTTTTATCGCTGAGGGGAAAGTGAAAATTTTAAAACCGAATAATCTCTTAGAGACAGAGTAATGGACAACATGGACACCTTTTCAGGAACATGTCTCAAGTACACATAGTCAGCCATTTTCACCAGGGGTAGAAAACAGGAGCATTTTTACTCCTAAATATTTTAGCCTTCATGTAAAATGGCCCGCCCGATTCAGTGATATACAAGGCAGCTCAATAACTGCCAGCGTACACGGGTCAAGCACTTTCAAGAAGATGATTTCAGTAAATATTCCGTATAAAAGTATATATGTACAACGGTATTCGGTTGGCTGATACTGACTACCATCGAGTAGGTTCGCTCGAAAATCTTAATTCTGTTCTACGGTTGATCGTAAAGTACTCTTCGGGAAGAAGAATGCACCAAAAAGATAGTTACAAATTAGCGGAAACACTCGGATTCCGGAAAACGAACTTTCAACTTTGTTTTCATACTTTAATAACGACAATTTGTAACAAAAAAAAAAAAAGCAAAGGGGCGGCTTTACTTCACCTTGTTGCTAATATCAGAAAAGGCCATAAAGCCGATTTATCGCATATTTCAGTTGAAATCATTTTGAACTGCCAAACTTGAAACAATGAGACTGGTTTGCTTCAGTTTCTGTGCTTCTTTTTACTGTATTAAGGTGCATTTAAGTGAAGTTGGTGTTTTGACGTTAACTCGCACCCACAGCACATTTTAATCACGTTATTTCCATTTTTAACAATGTTCAGTAGGTGGTAAAGTGATCATGATGTTCCGATCCCTTCTGTTCCAGGAAGGGTGACAAAGTTATTTTTCTTATACTTTCCTTTTCTTTGATCATGGCAAAGTGAATAACTTTTAATAAGTCTAAGAAATGAACAGGAGTCTTCTTAGGCGACATAAACTGATTTCCGCAATTTGTAAGAGATTGAGAAAATAATGAGCTCATTAAAAAGATTGATCGTAATGGAGATGACTTTGCGTGCTTCAGTCCTGACAACTAAGACAAGAACTCATCCAGTCGGCAATGATGCTGAATTCCTCGCCTTAGGCAAAGAAGCAAATCTTGAGTGGTTTGTTTTTCAGTGGTTCGGCATCGTTTGAACCAGAATACCTAATGACCTGAACTGTAATGGTTAATTACTCAATGGATTCTCTCTCCCTGAATGCGGTCACTTTTACCGTTCTCAAAGGGTCAGTCTTGAGTGAACAAATATTGATACAGTCAACCATGTCTACCCTTATAACGAACACCTCACTAAAGTTGACACCTAGAGTTGGTCCCTACCTTTCTTTACTTTTTTTAGTTGACCCTCTGTAAGGCGGACACCTCAATCTGGTCCCTGCCTTTCTTTACTTCATTTAATTAACTATATAGCCCAACAACAGATCCCACATCTCAAGGATGATTTATTGGCGAGTTTTTAAGGTTAATTTCTGTGCTTTACCTTAAATAGCATAATATCTTAGGAAAAACCGAAAGATAAATTCCATATTCATCTCCTACGAACTCAATGGGGAATATTTGTTAATAAACTATGAACTTTTGAATTTGACCCCTTTCATTAAGAAGACATAAATTTCCGCCTTTGTAACAACTGCAACACTGTTGAACTAGGGCCAAGAAAACAGCAAAACTAAAATACAAACAGAAAATATCTGAACACGGGAAAGAAACTTAGCGTGCTGTTACGAGAGGGGAATGATATGTTATGATGTAAGCCAGAAATATTCTGTTCCTGTGTGTTCATGCACACGTGACCCATTCAATCAGTTTTCTATCTGTTACTGTTTTGAAAGTGCATAATATTGACCTAGAGGGTACGAGTAAACTGAAGAATGAGAATCTTAGGAACTGCTGTTGTTTTGCTTGCTTAACCTATTGTTTTTTTTTTTCTACGTTCTCGTTGCCGTTGTCGTTGCTGAAGCTCCCTAATATTGCGCAGCCGCCCCGCGTTCAACATCGCCTCATCATTAGCCGCCAAGGCTCAGTTCATGGAACACTATCTTTTCTTAGAAAAACAAACTCTCTCAAAATTTTGATTTAATATTAAACTGAGGCGTGTCTCTTGGTCAGAGCTATACCTCTGTTACATTAAAATGATGGGGTTCGTTCGTACTGCAGAAACTTAAATAAAGAGTAAATAAAGAGTAATTTTTCATTTTTTGTGGTGGCTTTATTTTCATTTTAACACTGGCGTTTTAGTAGATGACTTGTTGACTTTTAACAATGGAGGACCCCTCTCAATGACAGCTTTTGTATTGAAAGCCCTAATTCTGTCCAAATAACGTTAACTATTTCATTTAATGGCTGTTTCCTGTTAATGACGTTTAGTGTAGAACCCGGACTCATAGAAATTAAAAAAAACAACGAACGTAAATGTAAAATAATTAAAAATAACTATAAGGACAAGGATACGACGTATTTGCTTCTAAAACAAGCCATGTTTCCAGTCAACTGTTACAAACCGGGGCCCTGAATTTTCTTTCCATGACATGTATTGAAGTATATCTAATCTCTTGTACCACAAGACTGATTGCAGTTTATTATTTAATGTTCCTCTAACTGCCCTCTTCGAGAGAGAGTATTTCCCAGCAGGATAAAGCACTCAGTATAAGAAAGATACAGCCGCTCCCATGAAGTCCAACGTGAGTCCATTTCAGTACATCCATTGTCATCAGTGTCATCAGCTACCACGATGAAATTGTCAAAGAAAAAGACAGTCTTTGCTGGCTACTGCCTGTAGATTTCATACTCGGATAAAATAATCCTTAGACATCTGCAAACTTCTACAGCGAAGTGATGGCCTGTTTTTACTGTGTTTTAACAGGAAGTAGTAACAGAAAGTTTCGCTTTTGAGTACGTCAGTAAGATTCATTGGCGCTTTCCGTTGTGATTCTTGGGCGGGACATAGTTGAGCTTCATTACTGAGATAATCTAGCCTTTTAAAAAGTTGAAGTTCAATATATCTTGCCGACCAAAGCAAATTACTAAGCAAAAATCGACAGTATATGGCTTTGGAACTCCATGTGCCCCGAATCGTCTGTAAACTTTACAAACATCAAATACACTGAAGCGAGAAGTTAAGATTTATTGCTGAGTGAAAAATTAAAACAAATCATTATACTACTACATGAAAATTTTTTTGCAATTTGGTTGGCTTAGAGCAGTGGTATTTCAGCTTAATTTGAAATACCTACATGTGAAAAATACAAAACCTTTGCGGGTAGTAGTACAAACAAATACTAGCATGATTTGTACGTGATATTTGGCATAAACACCACTTGTGATATTTCAAAATTGTCTCAAATTTCTCGCCTAACTGCTCGTGAAATTACATATAACAATTTCAGAATATCACTCGTGGTATTTATGCCAAATATCACTACAAATCATACTGTTACCTATACTAATCTCTTAGACGCAGGATACAGATATGATGTATGTTAATTAGTTATAAATTTAAAAATGTGTAGCCATAAGTTTATAGTTAATGTTCAAAGAATTTGCTGACGGCTGCGGCAGGAAGGATTTAGGAATCAGAAAATCATACTGTTGTCGGTTTTTTGTGCTAATCAAACAAGCAATTTCATTTCAACGTATGACAGAGGCTTAACAGTTTGTTGTCAGAAGAAAGTGCTATGTTTGGAGTAATGTTATGCACATAATGATTGCGTTCATGTGCGTCCATGTGATCCTTTCAATCAGTTCTTGTTCTGTTCCTGTTATTTTGACATAGAATAGACAAATAACCGGACATGGACGAAGGCGGATCTATGGCCAAGAAAATTTTGGGAGGTGTGATGACTATTATTGAAAGGTATAACGGTGTCAGTGTCAAAAACCTTTTTTCAAACATGCCATCTTTTATGGTACAACTCCACTGCTACAACGATAGAGTAGAGAGTGCAAGCTGTCACTCGCCCAGGGAGTGGCTCCAGCTTGCCTTTTTACCCCCATAAATTTATCTATACAAACGAAATATTTTTGTAGCGAAGCTCGCACATTATGGTAGTGGATACAGGACGCAACTTATACTGACTTTCTAACTGAATGGTTTGGTATCAGTCAAGGAGACATTTATGAAGTTCTTTTACCGATATTAAATAATGAGATCATTTGTTACAAAGAAGGTTTTGTCATGTTTTATAGTTCCATGAACATCCTGGCCAAAGTGACAGTGACATTGTATGAACATGAAGAATTTATCGGCAAAAACCAAGTGAGCATAGATATATTAAACAATATTGAGAATAATACGGTTATTGGGTGTATAGGTTACTAATTGAAATGTTGCTTATGAAAAGTTTGGTAACTTTAACTGTTCGCTGTTTTTGAGTTCTTTTCGCACGGCATTCATAGTCCTTTTGGCTTTCTCAGTTCTCAGTGTAAATTCAGTAAATTGTATAAAAAAAGTCAATGCTCTCAATACAGAAACCTTTCTGTATAACTCCTCCAAAATATTCGCAAAAGAATGTATTTATATTCAAGCATGCATGGTAGCCCTACTGTAACAATGCTCAACCGCCTTTCAGCACAGCTCATCTCTACTTCACAAAGTACTGCTAAAACATTGTTACTTATCGATAATCTTACTGACAAGCATCTTAAAAATATCGTTGTTGATTCAATGATGATACTTGTTGTAGGAACTGAAGGACAATTCTGAAGACTTAGCAGACCTGACAGAAATGTTTCCTGAAGGAGTTCGCTCGATTGCCTTGGAAGACAACGCCACAAAATGGCAAGTGTTTTCTCATGCTGGATACCATGGGGCTAGCGTGACTTTAGTACCAGGTCGACGCTACTCAAGCTTAAATGCCATGGGGTTACAAAATCCGGTTAAGAGCTTGCGAAAATTTCATCAGGTAATATCTCAGTGATAGATTTATGCAGCTTTTACCTCTGAAATAAGAGGGCTCAACCGATTTGTTGTATTTTCTTTTCGAAACAGTCGGCGACTTTGACATTGTATCAGGACGAAGACTACGCTGGCAAAGCAGAGGTAAGGCTAAAAAATACCTCCTTAACGAGAATAGTCAAACTCTATTGTTAGTCGACCTCCGTAGAGAAATATGTTAGGGAAAAACTTTTATGTTGGTAAACTTTGTTCTAGTTTGATTTGAAAGTTGCTTCGTTTTGACACAAACATTAGAAGTGAATCAATTTCAGTGTTATGTTTCCCATCAGCGAGATTGTATAACCCTTCTTTGTTACAAGGTATACTGCAGATAACAATTCACGGTTAACAAATTTTAGCGGCACTCACACTGACCATTCAGTCCGGCTTGTTAACTACTGAACTACCGTTTTATAGGAATTGAAGGCCAATTGTACAGACTCACAAGACCTCTCAGAGTCTTTCCCTAAAGGAGTGCGTTCGATTATTTTGGAAGAAAACGCCCCCAAAATGCACGTTTTTACTCGAGTGGGATATCATGGAGCACATGTAACCTTAGAACCAGGTCGACGCTACCCAAGTTTGGATGCCATGGGTCTGGAGAATCCTGTTTTGAGCTTTCGAAAGTTTTATAACGTCAGTAAGGTAATAAATGATTTATACAGAGCTTTACTCAGTGTATGACATATTATAATATTGCTAATTTCTTTTCACTTTGACATAGACTGCGACTTTGGTATTGTATCAGGACGAGGGGTACGGCGGTAAAGCATTGGTAAGGCGACTTTCAAAAATTTTCTCTAGAGCGGTCGGTTGTGGTATATATATATAATATATCTGTCTGATTTCGTTAAAACGTGGCCAGTAGGTTTTCGCCCAGCGCCGGGCGCAGCTCGGCTTTTGGCCAGTCCGGTGTCCAAAAAAGTAGGAGGCTTGCCAGAGCTCAGAGGGAGGCACAGACAGCCACCCATTGTGCTGGGTGGGGAGGGTCAAAGTCTTGGTACCTAGGACATACTTAGCATGCGTGAGACCTGTGTACACTCACTGAAGCCATGTTTACATAAATTCAGTCAGATGCCTGTTAGTGAACGTTGTTTTAGTTAAGTTGAAAGTCAGTTTTTTGATAACAGAGATATATATTACAGGGGTACATTGCTCTCTCCTACGCAGAAGCTCCAACTGGGTACCCCAACAAAAATAACAATAATCTGAAAAATCGTCCCCGCGCTTTTTCTTTTTTCCCTCTCCCCAGGAGAGCTACGGTGTCATATGTGTTAGACTTTCTAGACCGGCCTTACTAGTATTGTACTGACGTGTCTTCCCCTGGAGATAAATACTTACTTACTCTTACCAGCTAGTTTTGTTCGTTAAATCATCGTTTTATTGGAACACGAAGAACAATCCCCAGAGTCGAAAGAACTGACGAGTAGTCTTCCCGATGGATCATGCTCGAGCTCAATTGTTTTAAAGGAAAACACGGTGAATTTAACTGTTACTGATTGTAATCTTTCCTTCTAGACAATTAACGCTGTCTTGTTATTAAACTTGATGCTGCCCTTTTTCATAGGAACTAGAGAACAATACAGCAGAGTCAGAAGACTTGACAAACGATTTACCCAACGGAGCGCATTCGATTGTTTTGAAAGAAAATGCCGAGAAAATGCGAGTGTTTACAAAAGTTGGACATAATGGAGCACAAGTGACCTTAGAACCAGGTCGACGCTACTCAAGCTTAAGTGCTATGGGGCTGGAAAATCCTGTAATGAGCATGAAAAAGTCACATTGAAACTTTTTTATAATCTGACCGCATAAAAGACACAACATACCTTAACGCTGAATAAAATATTGAATTCTGAATTGTAGTTGACTTCAGTACTGTTAACTTAGATCTGCAAAAGAGATTTCCAACCTTTGTTATGAGATTCAACTTATAGCCTAAGTTGAAAATTAGTGAGTACGTGTATGCATGAAAGAGGAAAAATAACCTGTACTTAGTATGCTGCTCCCAATTAATAACGAGAAGATAGAAATGTCTAATAGGCCGACGGATCGGCGAATTTTGAAAATATTTTTGCCCGAATTTCGGATTCGAAGCGAGATTTTAACGGATTTAAGGATCCTGCAATTGCAGCGGATTGCGGATTCATCTATTTTTTGGGCCCGGACTTTGGACTTTGCGTGTAATTAAAATAGTTTTGCCCGGATTTCGGATTCAGGGCGAAAATGGAAGGGCGGCTTTGGTTAATAAATCATAACGGATCGGCGTATTTGCATATACCCCTATTCACCGCCCTCCTTTATGTTTAAGTTTAAATCGTTTAAAATGTGACGGTAAATGTCTCTTTTTATCTTATCGCGATTCTTGCTTTGAGTGTGAAAGGTCATTCCTTACAGGAAAGGAACGTCCTGTGGAATGTGCTCATTGTTGATCACCACGTCAAGAAAGTATATAAATATCCATATACCAGAAGTGCAATGTTTTATCAACTGAAGATTTGACTAGGCATTTTATTACATATAGTTTCGAATCTTCAGTTGACAAAACACCCGGCGTTGTCAATCAATGGTTTCCGATAATCGATAAAATCAATAATAATCAATAATAATCAATAACAATTAATCGATTGGTATTGGAAATCGATAAAAATCGTTGACTTAAAGTTGTGTGAGTATCGATTTCTATTGATTTTCATCGATTGTTATTGATTATTATTGATTATTATTAATGTTGGACGCCATAACAAGGCAATTTATTGCCAACGAGCAAGCCGAGCGAAGACGGTCGGTTTGCGAGGCGGCCAGCTTAATGCCACGCGAAGAATTGCAGCAGGCAGAAAAATTCTCGATCGTGCTGGGAGGTGTAGATTCCCTGAAGTGTAGTTTCACGTGACTTTTGATGACCTTTGTTGTAACAAACCTTCAAAGTTCGGACATTGTTCTCTGCCACACTGTTGTACTTGTACGAACTACAACTCGCTATTTCAAGTAAGCGCTAACCTGTAAATGCTATCTCCCTTTCGCTGTTTGAAACTCGACAAGTTTAAGGTTCAAAAATGTCTAAGCAGAAGAATAAGAGCGATTTTAAGGCCAAGAGCATGGCAGAAATGTAGGAACGAGGAGTGCTTGTAATGGAAATTCTCGCCTCAGCAGCAGAAATGGTTTTATAAACATTGGAACTAAAACCGGTGATGTAGGCAAATTCTTTTTCTTTCGTTGGCACTTACCGAAAACTACAACTAGTTTGACAACTGTGGCCATTTGCCGAGTGATGACTCTCTTTGTGGTTAATTTAGACTTTTTTTCAGCCTTTTTTTTTGTAATTTCTGATCCTTCGCCAGGTATCCTGTGATCTTGCTAAATAAATCCCTGTTCCCACTAACACACAAAAAGAAGCCATTTCAGCATTTACTTAAGTACCTTCAGGAAGACGGTTTCAAGGATGATGTTTGAGGGTAAAGCGACAGTTCGCATATTGCTTTCAAGCGCAATAAAGTGGGGATTGCTCGTGGGTTTTGATCGTTTTCGGACTGAATCAGTAGTGTTGGGTTGCTTTATTGTACCACTCACTGTCATGCATCCTTAAGTAAAACCATTTAAAAGGCCTCACAAACTACAGACATGGGAGGCGTGTAGAGAGTTAAACTGGTTTTGAATTGCTTCCACTATCACAGTCAAATGGAACTGAAAAATAATGAGGACATTTCACAATATTCTGAGATTATTATTTTATTTTGTTACTGTAATTTGTATAAGAGTATAAATCTAAGTGCTAATTTGTTGCGTAATCACCTTGTTGGTGACATTGTTGTTTTAACCTGATTATTAAATGAAATGAAATAACTGAGAGAAGGAATGCGGAGTCAAAAATTTCTGGGATGGTCAGCCAGTTCATGATTGTATTCGTGGCAGCTATGATTAGTGTGTTGGGAAACACACTCTTGAATTAGAAGAAATCTTAAAAATGTTTATTGCTCTAGTTTATTATAAGCCAAATTCTTGTTTTTGACGTACAAAAATTGAAGCAATTAAAGTGATTAATCACTGACTGCATGCATGTGTTGCGTGATTTCCTGCTAACAACGGCGTCTCGCCCAAGGGAAGAAAACTACTTAAGAGGTTTGTTTTCAAAGCTGAGTCATGAAGTCGTCAGTTTCTTCCCTTGGGCGACACTTTACTAATAGTTTTGAAATTATTCAAAAAAATTTTCCGCCTCCGCTGCCAGTAATTCATCTCAGTCAAAGATGATGAGAGATGATCTCTTAATCAAATAAAGAAACCAAGTATCAGAAACGAAAGAAAACACCAAAAAGACTTTTTAAGTTTAACGAAATAAACTTATAATGTTTAAATGCTATTTTTTTAAGAAGTGCTAGTACTGCTATGCAAAAAACTAAAAAGACTACTATTTAGCCCCCTACTTAGTGTGGAGGTGTGGTTAATCTAAATTCACTCAGCCTAGAAGGTTAGAGAGTCTGGATCCCCACGCAGAAAGAACACGGTATAACTTGACAAAGGTAAGTAGTCCACACTAACCGGGCCTTTACGCTGTATAACTGAATTGACCCTAAAAGTTTTGGCTTACATTTGGTGGTTTGTTTAAGTGAAGGTATTCCCTGTTTGATTGCCGAGAATCATGGCTGAATGGACTGTAAAGTTGTTTGATCAAGAAAATTGTAAAGGGAAGGAAGAGGTAAGGTTGAAGAAGCTAATTACATTTTTGGGAATAAGTAAGCTACGATTTTCTCAGATTTACAGATTGGCAGGCATGACGATGTTGTTGAACGATCGATACCGTTAAGTCTGTTAAGTAGGTCTTATTATACATGAAATCAGGATTTAGTTAACTTGGATATATTCTCTCTGTGTCAGACATTTCGTAACAACACTGACTAACCTCCATCCCACAGACACTCCATGAAGGTACTACTGATACATCAGACTTGACGAAAATTTTCCCGAAAGGATTTACCTCGATAATCTTGAAAGAAAAGGCTACAAAATTGCAAGCATTTACTCAAGTGGGATATAATGGAGCACATGTAATCTTGGAACCAGGTAGACGCTACTCAAGCTTCGTTGACATGGGACTAGAAAATCCTGTAATGAGCTTGCGAACGTTTGACATGGTAATCTCAGATACTTTTTAGAGATTTTACTGCAGGATAAGACAGGGGTACCCAAGGACGCTTTTCTCCAAGATACATTGAAAACACTTTTTTTGGCTATCCAGAGTACTTTTCGATGCCTAGAAAGGCATTTTCAGTCGCGCTATAGAATTTGTATCAGTTCGGTTATCCTAGGGCAAATTGCACCTAAAATTTTCGGGAAGTAAAACTGAAGCCCTAATAATTTCGAAAAAAGTCTTTCCGAAATTGTTAGGGCTTCAGTATTACTTTCCCGAAAATTTTAGGTGCAATTTAACGTTTTGCGAAAGTGAGAATTTTTCTAATTCCTCTCTCCATCGCAGTTTGGAATCCGAAAATTGTAGGTTTCCTTTTTACTACGAAAAATAGCCAAACCTGGAGAGTCAAATATGAAAAATTAAACTTCAGAAACTCGTGGGGAATTTATTAGGTAAGCTTCGAAAATTGTACATGAATGGAATGGTCACCTAGAAATTTGTAGCCGTCCCCAAATAATAGAAAATTTCAGGCAATTTTTGCTTCTCGGAACAGATATTATACAGGAAACAGTCGTTGGGTGCCCCTGATAAGAGCACTAAATTGAAATGATGGCACTTCTTTTCTTTTTTATGTAGCTTGCGACTTTGGTCTTGTATGAGAACGAAGGTTGCGGCGGCAAAACACTGGTAAGGCTTCCAAATATTTCCTCTAGCATGCATGGTTAATTACAGTGTATTTTTCTGTGAAGAAACTGTTTCAATAACAATTTCCCTAATACTGAAAAACTAAAATTCTTTCGGTTGATAAACCTAATTCTCTTTTTACCTTAACGCTTTTCTTTCTCAGACATAGATATTACAGGTAGGTTGTATTAGTCCGCCCCGTCCCAGCAAAAACGTCTTTTGGTGAAAGTGATTGTAATCAGTACTAGACCATAACCATCATGTTTACTTGATGCTGCCCTTTTCATAGGAACTAGAGAACAATACAGCAGAGTCAGCAGACTTGACAAACGATTTACCCAACGGAGCGCATTCGATTGTTTTGAAAGAAAATGCCGAGAAAATGCAAGTGTTTACTAAAGTAGGTTTTAATGGAGCACAAGTAACTTTACATCCAGGACGACGGTACTCCAGCTTAGATGCCATGGGACTGGTAAATCCTGTTGTTAGCCTAAGAATGTTTAACAAGGTAAAATCCAAATAATTGTTGTACTGTGGAACTTTAATAGCAAAATTAATACTGCTTAATAGCTGATCTCTTTCTTTTTCGTTTTGATGCAGCCTGGGGTTGTGCAATTATATGAAGACGAAGATTATGCCGGCAAAGTGGTGGTAAGGAATAGAAGTATTTATACAAGAATGGTCAATAGCTTTGCGTATATATCAATGTGGATGATGAAAAGCGTTTTATGCCTTTTCCTATCAGTTCAGGCTACCTAAACGGGTCTAAACCTACTGGATGAATACAGTGACCTCAGTAAAACTGTTTGTTGGTGAAACAGATTTTCTTTTAACCTTGTTCTGGCACAGATATTACAATAAAATTGTTTTACGGAGAACTCAACCAGCCCCAGCCATGTCGCAGGACGTCTCTTTTTCATATTGTATACTTCTTGCTGATTTGATCACCGTTTTTATAGGAATTAGACCAAAATGCGCCAGACTCTTCTGACCTGACGAGTACCTTCCCCAAAGGAGCACGCTCGATTGTTTTGAAAGAAAAGGCCCCAAAATGGCAAGTGTTTACTCAAGTTGGATATAATGGAACACAAGTAACGATATACCCAGGTCGACTCTACTCAAGCTTACGTGAAATGGGGCTGGAAAATCCTGTAATGAGCATGAGAAAGTCACAGTGAAACCGTTTGATTCGGAGCTTAATGAAGGACAACTGATAGCCTCCTTGGCAGAATAACTCATGTTTTATCACTGATATCAAACGCTGCATAAACATTAAATAGTACAGCCTGGCATACCCTCACCTTTTGCTGAGTACGATACTTAGAGCCTTGTTAGAGCTTAAAATTCAAATAAAAGTTAAAAAGCGTCTGTTTGTGTGGAAGTAAAATAACAAAAGAAAAAGAAAAACCTCTACAAGATATAGCACAAAAAAATTTGTCATAATTAAATCTACTTCAGGGAAACAGTTGTATTCTCCGTTTTCACTCACGTGAGAAAGCAGAAATAAAAATGAAAACCTTTTAATACAGAAAGTCTAGAATCTGGGAAATGAAAGAATATAAATATACAAAAAGCCTTGCCAAGAATCAGGTCTATGCAATAGTTGATATGCGAGATCTTCGGAAAAACGTTTTACCCAAATTTATAAAGCTTTGTACGGAGACGCCATATGTTTGGGATGTTACTAAAACGGGGAGCGGGGAGCGGGGAGCGGGGAGCGGGGAACGGAAGTCTGGGAACGAGTTGTCAGCGGAAACCTCCATAAAAATCCAAAATGGCCGGTAAGGATCAAGAACCCGGTAAGATCGATGATAGAGAAGCGTCGAAACAACACTTAAGGTCGCTATTTTACTAATGAACTATATGCTCATGAGGTGCTTGAAATAATACGGAGGTAATAATGTCATGACATTTTTCACGCTTTTGCGTTTTACTAAACAACAAAATATGCTCTAACAGCAGTTGAAAGAAGCTACAGTCGGGACAAAAACTCTCAAAGCACAGCCATATTTGGAACTCAAGCGAATCTATACTGGGTCTAACTCACAAAGCAATGAACTACTTTTGCTTGACGCTTTTCGTAGGATTTTGGCTTAAATACATGCTGAAAGATATCGTAGATCGAAGCAGCCAGGTGTATTTCCTCGACAGTAATAGTGTAGCAGTGGAGCTCCTTCCTAGCTGTAGCGTTTTTTCAAGCCCAAATTAAAACATGTTGGCGATGAGATAAAACTGTAAGTCTAATAATATTATATTTACAAACCTATGATGAGAAGTAAGTGCAATTGTATTGTTTGAAAAGATAAGATGGATCAGGTTATTTAATACATCAATAAAAGGCAACTTTAAACATATTAACGGGCAATGTGCCAGGAACATCAATCATACCTTGGTCTTAAAGATGTCAGTTGTTTCAAAGCAAATGGCTATGCTGTGGTTTTATTTTATTATAACCTAGGTTTAGATTTTGCTTCCCTTTATTTGGGGGTACGGTAATATGAATTTTATGATTATGAGTTCAAAACAAAGAGAATAAAATTCAAACTTAGGATAAAAGTGAACCACAACTGAGCTGCAATATTAAGTGTTGCAAGTATACGTGGGGGAAGTACTTTAAAGTCTTTGGTTGGAAGGTACTTTCTAAAGGCTAGCTGTTAAAATATGCATGGTAAGTATACTTCCTCTGTTTAGCCCTCTGGATGCTTTTTTTTTTCTAGGGGGACTCCTTTAATGTTTTTGCAGAGGGGAGCTCTGCTTCTCTTTAATGAACATTATTTTTACTGTGGAGAAAAATATTTCAAGCTCAGTGTAAAACTGAATGTATCAGTGACTTAAACCAGTTAATATTGTCAAGCTGCTTTATTAGCTTGATTTAGTAATATCGCAGTGCACCTACCATCAAGCATCACATCATCAATGTTGCAGAGGTTGGCAGCTTATTAGAAGGTGGTTGATAAGCCTTCAAGCAAGCTGTCTGTAGTTTTGGAAATAAAGAGTCTAAGGTCTACTCACCAAAGAGGCTCTGCCCCAGGGACCAACCCTTTACCCTTTGTATGTACCATTTTAGACAGAAAAGGTACCCCTTTTGTATACCCTCTAGTGACAAATGGTACCCCTTTCACATACCTTATTTTGAACGCTGCATCCCTTTTTAACTGCTGTAAATACACCATCTTTACAATATGAATAAATAACTAAAACATGTTTTCTTGTCTCTCACATCCATAAAATGCATCTGTGACTGATCTCATTTTGGTCCCTTTCATATACTTCACTATAAAAACCCCTTCCCTTTCATGTACCTGAAGCCTGAAAAAGGCTTCAGGCTCTGTTTAGGCCATTATAGTACCCCCTCCTCCTGCACCGAGAACAGTACTTGATACAGCGATATTGTATGGTATGAATTGCACCAAACGTTTCGTGCTCATGAGGAGGTACTTTGATTATTTTACGACATTTTTCTTCAAAAGGGAGGGGTTTGGGATCACATTCTTAGGGGGGCGGGGGGTTAATTGAGGATCTGCAGTGAGTGAGAATGTTGCATTCAATGCAATCCAATGGTTTTGATTCAGGAAAGGGTCATCAGGGGTATTACACAGAAAGACAAATGGCCACTGTACGACAGTGGACTGCAGTTACTGATTAGGGTGAGGAAAATGAGTGCATTAGGTTCCATTAGGGTCATTATACTGGACTATACTGGGCAAACTGACCTGAAACAAATTGTTTCACAAAATAATAAAATGATATTATTTTATTTTCATGGATCAGTGAAACACTTCAATATCGTGAATGCTTGCAGTGTAGTAAATCTAATAATATTAAAAGCACAACCAGATTGTTAAAGTAGTCTTACTAATTATGTGATGACGTGGTCAATAACATTTTTCAAAGCAGTCATCTCTATCAAAGGAAATAGAAGAAGTCTGCACACAAGCTACTTGACTACTTCGATGTATGTTATCTATCATGGAAACGTAGTTCATTGCTTTGTGGGCTAGACTCAGTATAGATTCGCTTGAGTTCCAAATATGGCTGTACATGTGCTTTGAGACTTTTTGTCCCGATTGGCTTCTTTCAACTGCTGTTGGAGCACATTTTGTTTCCTACGGATAATTGTTTAGTACAACGCAAAAAGGTGAAAAACGTCATGAAGTTATTACCTCCGTATTATTTCAAGCACCTCATGAGCATATAGTTCAAGTAAAATAACGCCGTTATCGGTTAAGTTTGTTTCGACGGTTCTCTATCATCGATCATCGGCCATATTGGATTTTTATGGAGGTTTCCGCTGACAACTCGTTCCCAGACTTCCGTTCCCCGTTCCCCGCTCCCCGTTCCCCGTTTTAGTAACATCCGTATGTTTGTGTCCCTTTCAGGGGCACAAATATGGCCGCCGGAAACCAAAAGAAACATCTGTTTTTGAGTTTTCCTACTTATGCGTGAATTCTTCGCTTGGGGAACTCATAAAGATTAAAGCAATATTTATTCTAAGACAAGAAATGTTTAGATGGCAAAATCTCCAAAAATCCGTAATGTTTTTAACCCACATAAGAGCTTTCCCGGCCGCCAGCCGAATGCCGAGTCACGCAAAAGCCTGGAAAATCAAGCGTCCTGTATCGCAAAACAAAGAACCCTTTTGCACCGAAAATTTGTTTGTATAAAGGTTTTAAGGTACTCAAATATCGCATGAAAGTAGAAACTCAGAAGAAGCGAAAGTTTCTTGGTTTGAATTTTGGTGACGTCATGTGAAAACCAAGATAGTTCTGCTCTTGTCTCCAAAACCCAACGTTACGCTAGTCTTCGTTGTTTCTTTTTTTAGATGCTAAGTTCCTGGTCTAAGTATCCTGCAAAAGCATGTTCAAAAAGCCTCTAATGACACATAACAAAACATAAGAGGCTTCCTTGATATTAGCGAGATTCCTTTGTTCAAGTCACACGCATTTAAAAATAATAATAAGCACAAATTATCCGCGTTTTTGCTTACTGAAATGGTAAGACTCAATATAATGCTGTCAGCACGTTGCTTAATTAGCCCACACCTCCCTCCACTTAGAACTTGAAAGGAATAGGCGGGGCTTACAAAACATAGAACGCATTTTTTTAATATTGTTTTTAATGATGAGTCATGCGTCAATCAAGGTTAAAGTCTTAACCGGAGGCGTGGTCAGCCTGGCTATTAAGAACACCTAATGGAGCAGGTGGTTTACTGATGAGGTTCGTTGTGAAGTCTCGACCAATAAAGGCAATTAAATATTGTTATCAGTCGTAGTGATTAATGTTTATCCAATTATCTTGAACACCCGCTCTAGTTTTATGACCATTTTAGGTGAAGAAAAATGATCACATTAATTCCGCGAGTGCGTCTATTAGTTCTATTGTCTCTCAAGCGACATAAAAAGGCTGCAACCGGCGAGTTACTGTATCTCAATTCAGCTGCAGCTAAGGACAAGGCGCTCTGATCAAACAAGGTTTTTCTAGAGTCTTTCAAACTCATAAGGTAAACTTTTCCATAACCTCGTGAACAGAATAATGCGCAGTCTTATTTTCATCCGCTTTCTTTGATGTGTAGTAGACAATCTTTAAAAGTTCTTTTCCCTTTCAATTTCAGATTATGGCGAATAAAATAACATTGTGGGCAAACGATGATCAAGGAGGGAAAGAAAAGGTAAAGAAATTGTTAATAACCAAATGAAGCCGAGACTCTTCAAAATATCGATCCTCTCTTTTAATCAGGGGAGTAGGTAAAGCAATTCGTAGAATCCTAGACACAGGTTTAACATCCAGTGTATCTCGCGTTCTCTGTATTGCATTTAACTATCTCTTTTACAAACTATCCTCACACTTCTTTTATTCTCCATTTTTTTTAGTCTTATGAAGAAAACCAAACTGATCTGACAGGTTATTTTGTCAATGGTGCCAGAAGTATCAAAGTGGGCGAGTCTGCTGGAACTTGGCGCGTTTTCCCTGATGTCGGCTTTAATGGCGATGCGCATGCTGATTTGAAACAAGGTGGATATTACCCAAATCCAAGAAGCATGGGGCTCAGTTCTCCGGTTAAAAGCATGAAAAAAGCTGAATAAGTAGCCATTGTAAGAACCTGGTACATAAGGTATTCAGTTTTGTAGGATGAAAAAGCTTGTGTAGGATGAAAAAGCTTGTTTTTAAACAAATAAAT